CAAGTTGTCGGATTAGCTGAAAATTACTGCTAGGTGAGAGAAGATTTCTAATGTTCCAAATTGCCGTTGTGCTATGTAACATTTTCTTTGGTTCTTATCTGTGACAGTTTTACTGGGAAAGGTGACTTTTCTTCTTTTTCAGAAGCTAAGCCATGAGCACAGTAGAACATTTTATTTTCTTCAATTCATTTAATTGAAATCTTAAGATGGAAATTGCATGTGTCTAAGAATAAAATTTAGTTATTATGAAAAGGAGCTGATAACTTCAATTTTATAAGTCAAATCTCCTCTTGAAACCTTCTAGAAAAGAAAAGCCAGAAATAATAGAAGCTAACATTTATTGTGCATTGACTGCTCAGCAGTATGCTAAGTTCTTTACATATTCCATTTCCTTTAGTCCACCCATGGCATAAGGGTTGTTTTAAAAACTAGTTGGATGGTTGTCATTTCCTGAAGTGGAGAGGCTGTGAGAAGAGAAGATTTGGGGGAAGAGTAGGAGTTCAGTTTTGGAATGGAAGTCTGAGATGTCTTTTAGCTAAATGAGATGTTGAGTATGCAATTGGATCTATGAGTGTGGCCAGAGAAGATAAAATTTGGAATTTGTCTGCAAATAGAATTGAAAGCCGTAAGATTGGATGGGATCTCCAAGAAAATGAATATGAGTAGAAAAAGGAAGCAGTCTGAGGACTGCACCTTAGGTTTACTCAGTGGTAAGAGCTCAGGAAGAACCACCCAGTGAGGTAGGAGAAAAGCTGGGAGAGCATCGTGTCCTGAGAGTCAAATGAAGCGTCTGGGAATAGTGAATCGTGAGGTGGGTCAATGCTGCTTGCAGGTCAAGGAAGTTGAGGACTGAGAATTGACCACTGCATTTAGCAACCCAGAGGTCACTGATTGCCTTGACCAGAGCAGTTTTGGTGGATTGAAAGCCATATTTGAATGGGCTCAAGAGAATGAAGAGAGGAAATGGAACCACTAATGGATAAAGGGCATAGGGGCTGCAATGGACTAATCCATCTGAGCTGATAAATGAATGTATTTAACTAGTTGAGAGCCTGTCTACCTACCTTATGCAGCTGGTCTTTGACATCACCAAAACTTCACCAGTCAGACCTATGACCAAGGCGGAATCTATGCCACTGTTGTGGGCAGAATGGTTGTGCTGTTAGGTGATTCAGCTCCACTTACCTGTGTGTGTTTGTGTGCATGTGCTCATGCCACTTGGTGTTATGGCTCAACATTTTCCACCCCTGGTGCTAGGAACCACCTTGCCTGACCTGCCTACTCACTTAGGTATTCTGGTCACCAGTCACTTGGCAAGTCCTAGGACCCCAGTCTCATGTGCTGCTCTTAATGGGTGTGGCTCAGGTCTAGAGAGGGCAGAACAGTTCTTCAAAGCAAAAAATAACTAGTCACAAATTTTCACTTAAATTTCTATCTAATTAGTGAAGACTGGATATATACACAAACAGTGCCAGTTAATTCAATTACATAAATATTTAAGTAGCACTGAATGCAAGGCATATTCTAGATACTGGAGTACATACATAGATATTCAAAGTGGGGTTTCTTCCCTTGGTTACTTACAATCTACTAGAAGACTTTGGAGAATAATAAAAATAACTAATAATAAGGCAGGATGTGATATGCAATGTGATTTTTATATAAAGGGAGAGAGGATTTGGGGGGCTAACTTCTGATCAGGGACATCTCTGTGATAGCAAAGGCATTTGAACCAAGTTTTAAAGAAAATACTATCGAATTTTTCAAAACTTAGAATGGAAATTATAATTCAAGTGTGACAGGAAACCAATAAACACAGGAAGAGTACTGATAACATTAACTAATTAAAAAATGTAAAACTTTTAAATGGTCTTTAGATTTTGTGCTTTGCTTAATTCAGGTCCTGTATATTTCTTGTTAAGTTTATGCTTAGACATATTCTATTCTATTTTTCTTGCTGTTTTGAACAAGATGCTTCTTAATCATAATGTTCTTAAACTGGTACACAAAGGAACCAGTGCTCTCTTATATTGTATGCAGATGCCTTACTGAACTTCCCTGGTGATACAAGTTTTTCTTTTCTTTGGGGTTCCCAGGTAAACCGCATTTTGTATTTTTCCTGAATTCATCCTGTCAGTTCGTTGGTATCACACTGACTAATTTCAAATTGCTCTTTATTTTAGGCCATCTAACCACATGTTGGCTACTTACATGCCTCCCAGAAAATTGCCACAGTAACTATGCAGAGAAGAACATTAGCAGCATTCACCCAGCCCGGAGGCCAGCCTGCAGGGCCGTAATACACCACTCTGGCTCCAGCATGTTCCACCTATAGGTTTAGTGGACTCAATAAATATTGAGTGGATGGCTGAATAGATGGGTGAATTACACTTGCTCGGAAGAGACTGAGGTCTAGTATTTCTACTGTAAATCAATCTGCTTTGTCTGCATCTGTCTTTCAGATATTTTTATTTAAGAAACACGACCCACTGACTGGCTTTAAAAGAACGATAAGAAAGCTCAACTAATAAAAATGAAAGAATAGCAATGTAAGTTGGAAAATTCTATTGACAGAAGTCTTATTACTTAATAACCATGTTCTCTCTTTAATATTTTTTAAATGTTATGTAGAGATTTTAAAAATTAAACCAATTTTTAGAAAGTCTATTTTATTCCTTTACCACTTGTACAGTCATAATATAAGAAGGACTTTCATTATAGATGCATTTCTTACATGTGTGATGAGGATTCTCCACAGTTGCGAAAACAATATTTCAGGGCATGCTGAAGGACAGAGATCTTGCATATATTACTTTTAAGTCCTTCAGGCCATCTTTGCATGAAAGAAATGAATAAAACACAGTGCTGATAAATGAAGGAAAAATGTACGCATTTAATAAATTAACTGTGCTGTTTTTCTGTTCCTATTCAGGCAGTCAACCAACTATATTGGCCCCTCAGGGTGCCCACAGCATTTTAATTCTTTGGTGCAGATGGCACACATTTAGCTATCAAGTGCCGTAAGTGCCACTCATTTATGGCCGTGGCAGTCTGCAGAGGCCAGCTGCGGCCTTCTAAAATGCACTCAGGCTTCGGCCTCCCAGAGGCCCTTCTTAGACAGCCCCTATCTAAAAGGAAACCCCCCCCAACCTGTTGAGTGCATCATGGGCATTATCACATTCTATAATTGCTATGTGTATGTATTCACTATGTGCCCATTCCACATTAGAATATAAATTCTAAGGCGGTTGGAGTCTTATTCACTATTTATCCCCTACATTTACCACTATGCCTAGTGATGGTGGGCACTGAATAACATATACTGAATGAGTATTTGTCACCTGCCTGCCTGCTTCCACACATGGAAAGAGGGAATGTTTCTAACAGTCCACACCAGAACGGATCCCTGAGCACGACCTTTAACTCTGATCTCACCTCCAGTGATGGTGGGCACTCAATAACATATACTGAATGAATATTTGTCACCTGCCTGCTTCCACACATGGAAAGAGGGAACGTTTCTAACAGTCCACACCAGAACGGAACCCTGAGCACGACCTTTAACTCTGATCTCACCTCATATGAAACAAAACCCTTCTGTGTGTGTTTTTTTCACATTCTTTGAAAGGTAACGAAATAGTTGCTGTTATTACAAAAAGTGATAATTTACTCATGACAATCCTCTACAAAATAACGCAAGTAATGACTGTATTCATCCTCTTAAAGGAAGTTGGAGGCCTATAGATCTGACCTAACAACCTGAATATAAGAATATGAACCAAGTTTAGTCATAGAATTGGTTCATTTATTTTTGCCAGCCCCCAAATTTTACTGTATTTGTGTATGTCAGTTTACTCATTATATAAACAAGCATGATAATGACTTCACCCAGAGTTCAGAGTAAGTATTACTCCACCAGAGGAGGCCCAGT